CAGACCAGCATGTTAAGTTTGTAAACGACCTTTTGGGACACCCTGTATACAAGGCTCAAAACATACTTATAGTTGTTTACCAGACGAGCAGTACGAGTTCAGGTCGAAACTCGATACTACTAAGCAGTTGTTACGCATAGTTGATTATGTTGGCTGAGGATTACATTTAAAACAGACTTCGGCTTTGCTGATGCTTGACATTAGTAAAACGTTTGATAGAGTTTGGCACAAAGGTATTATTTATAAATTGATAGAACTTGAATTCCCGAAAGGATTAATAAAATTTATTAACAGTTATTTGGCAGAGAGAAATTTTCAAATTAGAATGAAAAACGTATGCTCCACGGTGAGGAGTATTAGAGCAGGCGTACCGCAAGGTAGCATACTCGGACCAATTTTGTATATCCTTTTTACACACGATTTCCCAATCGATAGGGGCGATTGGAGCAGTCTAACTCCATTCTATGCAGATGACACAGGTGTCATAGTGAAATCTAGTAACCCGAACATGGCGATAGAGAAACTGCAAGAAAAGATTTACGATTACGAAGAATGGTGCTTAGTTTTTAAATTCGAGATAAATGCTCAAAAGTCCCAACTATTGATTATCCAGAAGAGCAGGAAATCAATTAGAGAGCATAATGACCTAGTACTTTTTAATCAAGTGATACCAAGGGTAAACAAAGCTACCTACTTAGGTCTAGTCATTAACAACAGACTGACTTGGTCGGATCATGTGAAAAATGTTAAAAATAAAGCCAATGTTGCAACATTAAAACTGCAATCCTTCATGTAGAGCGAAAAATTGAGCTTAAAACTGAAAAGGCTACTGTACAACTCCATGATAAGATCAATCATGACCTATGCGTCGCCAGCATGGTGCAATGTATCAGAACGTGAGCTTGGGAAACTCACAGCAACGCAGAACAAGATCTTGAGAAAACTAACTGGCGCAGAGTGGTATCAAAGAAACGTAGACATTCACACGGACTTAGAATTGGACAGTTTCGAACATCACTTTAACAAACTAAATCGAAACTTTTTTTAAAAAGGCTCTAGACTGCAATGCAGCAAATTTTGACTCTATTTTCGAGTACGAAAATTTAGCAGAAGACGCCTCCCTGAGGCCAATAGCACACTTTTCTACAAGTGATGTAATTCTGACCATGTGAGATAAACTCAATGGCATTACTTATGGCAATATCAATATACTAAATATGGAAACCTAACTCGGACATGACATGTAAATATTGTAAATATTATATATGACAAAATCTCTTTGATTTGTTTTAAATATACTGACTATGCTTTGTAATGGGGCAAAAGATATAGAATGAATGATCATTGTAAATAGTGAAAGAATGAAACGAATGAAGCGATATAGAGATATTGTGTTCAGGAGATGTACAACTTTGACAAACTTCTTTCTAGAAGTAAAATTTTACATTGGCTCTAATAATCGATATATCTATACTATGTATAATTGGCACTATAATATATATGACAAATCCAACTTGGAAAAAGAATGTGATGCGTTGACAAAATCATTATGATTTGTTTATAGGGGCAATAAGAGGTAGAATGAATGAATCTGTATGGTTAGAGAAAATGAAATAGATGAGAAGAAAGAGGATATTTTGTACCAGGGGCGTGCAATATTGGACAAACTTCTTATTAGAAGTTAAACTTTTATTAGTAATTTATCTTATCTTTATTTTTATGTACTATTTTACTGTATTTTATATACTTGTATTTTATTTTATTTTTATATATGTATTTACAAAATGCATCACTCTATGTGATTTCACATGAGCAATTTGCTCATTACCAATTTTCTACTTTCAATTTTAGATTATCAGCGCCACAAGGAAGCACCTCAATGATCCCATCTCACGAAGAAGGGGTAAAGGGCCGTTCCGGCCTCAGGCACCCCGACCAACCAACAAGACCAGACCCTTTCACCCCTCATCATTCGAGCATTGGATCTCTTCGAGAAGGGTTGTGTTACAACCGAGATCCTGCTACAATGACTTCACACAGATTTGGCTGCGGAGGTACAGCGTTCCGCCCGTCACGCGTACCGGGCATCGATCTGACCGAGATAAGACAATCCACGAGAGAGTTCGCCCGCAATAAGCTGAAAACTATTACGAACATTGAAAAAGAATTGGCGGATTCTGAACGTCACGCAAAGGAAAGCAGAAGGGAGTTAGACGAGATTCTCAGGAAGTATTTGTATTACCCAATGTATATGGGTAACCTATACAGATGCATCTATTACGATGAGGAACTTGAACTTCTGATAGAATCTCAAACTGCCAAGCCAGACCCAGCTATGGAGATATCTGAACCAGTAGAGATACAAGAAAATATCCATACCTCGACAACAGTTGACTCCACCCCTGAAATAGTTGAGCAAGTCCCAGCTATGGAGACTACTGATACAACTGAGATCCCGAGAGAAACCCAGACCCCGACATCGGTCGAATCAACACCCGAGTTAGATAAGCAAGGCCCAATCCCCCCCAGGAGCCTGCAACCCAACTTCCTACCACAGCACCGAAAGAAAAGAAGAAAAAAAAGGGGAGGAAAAAGAGTGTCAACACGGCGACACCTACTGCTTCCGAGACCGATAGTGAAACACCACATCCGGAAGAAGAGATTATCCCCACACCACCTGTGGATACTGAACCAGAACAGATGGAGCTCGGAGAAACTTCTGAAGCCCCGGCGACAGTTGAGACCCCGGCTACTACACCTGAACCGAAAGATACTCTGCAGCCCACCGGCAGAAAAATCAAAGCCCTCGTACTTGGACTTAGCAACGACATCGAGATGGTGAATCTCGAAAGTGAACTTTCAGACATTGGACTACGGTCAATCAGAACAGAGCAGATCAGAAAGAGGCGTGGCCAGGATTACAAGCTCCTCCCCCTCTTCCTAGTTATCCTGACAGACATTCCCAAGCACAGGGAAATCTTCAAACTAGACCGACTGCTAGATACACCCGTTCGGGTGGAAAGATTACGTGGCGGCCGCCATGAAATCCAGAGCTATAGGTGCCAAGGATTTGGACACACCCAGAAAGACTGCACAGATAAGCCAGAGTGCATGAAATGCGCAGGAGCGCATTATTCCTATCTATGCACAAAACCCATGAGCGAGCCTCCGACTTGTGTGAATTGCAAGAATGGTCACACCGCCTGTTTTTCAGGCTGCCCATCCAGGCCCAGGGGCCCTACCATGAGCTACCGGGAATGGAATGAAGATTCCCGGTTGGAAGGTGAAACTGGGAAAGTTTGGTTCCATGAACGTTCAATACCGCACCATGAACGCTCCCTTGGAATCAGACATTCCATGATAACTCTCTCTCAGGGCGTGGCTAAAATGTAACCAATCACACAATTTACTTAAGATTTCCTTTTTTAGTTTGGCAGCATTAGCATACGTAAAACGAAACGAGCTTCTGCTATTTAGATAATATTTTTGACGATTTATTGTTTTCTTTTTATAATGTTTTTCGTTTTCATTAGACTAAAAGAACATAAACTGCGAATACTTTGAAATATTCTTTAGTTTATTATACATATAATTTTATTAATTAAAAACTGTCATATTTAACATGTATAATTCATAGAATAAAACCATTTTTTCATAATAAATATTTCTGATATATCCTTTAATACGTTTCACTATTTGTTTCAAAATACTTTTTAAAAAGTACAACTCTTAAAATAATGATCATATTTTAATGAATTAAGATTCAAAATTTCGTGCCCGAATACTGCATGTATATAGATTACTAATTATACTAGTTTCTAAATAAAAACTAATTGCCAGAAAGAAATCAAATTTTATCAGACAAAAAATTAACGTTTACCAATCGGTCTCTTAGAAATTTACTTAATTTCAGAAAAGTTCATTAGTTTTCAATTAAATTTGTAACAATATGAATGACTAAAGTTACTACTTTGCTTATTACTTTGGTCCATTTGTTACATTATTAAAGTGACTGTTTTTATTGATAGTTAAATAAATATGTTCACAAGAAATTAATTTATAGATTTGTGTAAAAAAATTTTCGTGATTTGTAAAATCATTTCACGTTTGAAATACTTAAAAATTATAGTTCAGGGAACTACTTCCACAGCTTTTATAGTATATATTTATGGAAGAATGAGAATAAAAGACTTTAAAATGAGTAAAAGAAGAAATAAGTACATAATACATAAATATTTTTCGAAGCATTTATATTCTATTTACTTTTCCCATTATTCTTTTCCGCATTTTTTATTATAAATAAATGTTACTTTAAAATACATCATGCCTGTAACAAATTCCTTTAAATTTGCTGCTATCTGTATGTAGTATAAAAAACTATCATTCAGAATGAAGTTAAATACTGTTGAATTAAAAGTTCATCGAAAGAAAATTGAAAAAAGAAATGACTGGAACTTCAAAAAAAGGTATTGGTCAAGTAATATATCCGAGGTAATATAACATAAAAATAGTAACAATTATCATATAATAAGAGCATAATTATATTTAGTTTGCCGTAATTTCTTAGTTAACTCTGAAAGTATCTTTTCGTTCACACATACTAATGAAACAAAACATTTCTTAATTATCGTCTTGAAAATGGCTCGGACACGTTTATCTTTTAGAAGTTTTGAAATCTTCCGTTATGAAATAGAAAATAATTAAGACATTCATCGGTGAAATATCGTATTTAGTTCTCAAAAATTCACCATTCCATCCAAGAATGAGGATTCCGGTCAGTAGTCAAGAAAACCGGTTGTTTCTTGCCAAGAAACTCTTTCCAAGGTGTTCGCGGTGGGGAAAAATAATTCCCGTTCAAACGTGACGTCATTCCTAGATGGAATTTCATTCCATGGAGCTCATGGTAGGGTCCCAGGAGAAAATTCGCACCGAGAAAGAAACAACATCGGAATGTCGCCAGCTCAGCAGCTAGATTCCTGAATATAGTCAGGGAGTTACAAGTGTGATATAACAACTACAACTTCAACTGCACTTGCTGGATTGATGTATACAAGATATAACAACTACAACTTCAACTGTACTTGCTGGATTGATGTATACAAGATGTAACAACGTGCTTCATGTTTCATGCTAATAATAAATACTAATCCTAAATAATGTTGACTTTGTTTATCATTTAACTAAAAGGTTATTAAATAGCTACAAAGACACAACATGGTGTCAGAAAAGCATTTTCCTGAGGAAAAAGATGTACCCATGTGTAAATAAGTTAGTAGTGTATGGAACTTTTTGTGTTCACCTGTGCTTATAAGTAATAATTGAAATGGAAACCTTCAAACCACCTGGAGCCATGTCATTTAGTGGCAATTTGAAAGAAAATTGGACAAAATGGAAGCAGAAACTTGATAATTTCCTTGTAGCCTCGGAGAAAGATGAAAAACCAGATGCAGTTAAAATAGCGATCTTGTTGAATCTAATCGGTGATGAAGGTGAGAATATCTATAACACCTTTAAGTTAGAAGATAATGAAAAGACATTTAATAGTATTATTAAAAAATTTGATGATTATTGTTTTCCACAAAGTAACGAAGTTTTTGAACGGTTTAAATTTTTCTCCTGCTCTAAAAAGGATGGTCAAAGCATTGACAACTATGTGACAGAACTAAAAACTCTAGCTGCTTCGTGTAATTTTGGAGACCAGGAAACCAGCTTGATTCGAGATAGAATAGTACTTGGAGTGAAAGACACTGGACTGCAAGAGCGATTACTTAGAGAGCCCAGTCTAACCTTACAGAAGGCTGTTGACAGTNTGAAGAAGACCATGATAACATTTTATTAGAAGTTTTAGAGAGGGCCAAGTCTAATAATGTAAAATTTAATCCTGACAAATTTCAATTTAAAGTTCCTGAGGTAAAGTATATGGGTGTTCTTATTTCAAAATGTGGAATACGGGCAGATCCAGGACATGTTAAAGCTATTGTCGAAATAGAGAAACCCTCTGACAAGAGTGGTATTAAGAGACTGTTAGGTATGGTTAATTTTCTTTCAAAATTCATACCAAATGTTTCAGCTGTTACAGCCCCTCTAAGAAATTTGTTAAAAATTGATGTAGAGTTTCAATGGGGTCCGGAACAAGATGTAAGCTTTCAGACTATCAAAGAGTTAATTAGTTCAACACCAGTTCTAAAAGTGTTTAATGAATCTCTACCGATTACTATTCAATGTGATAGTTCAAAAGATGGTCTGGGTGCTTGCTTATTGCAAGAAGGTCACCCCATTGCTTTTGCATCTAGAAGTTTAACTGACACGGAGCAAAATTATGCACAGATTGAAAAGGAATTATTGGCCATTGTTTTTGCTTTTCAAAAATATCACAATTTGATCTATGGTCATAGGATTGTTGTTGAAAGTGACCATAAGCCCTTAACCTCTATAGTGCATAAGCCAATTAGTAAAATTTCTTCTAGATTACAAAGAATGCTCCTTAAATTATTGAATTATGATTTCATAGTAAAGTATTTACCAGGTAACAAAATGTATGTTGCCGACACTTTGTCTAGAGCTTATGTAAAAGAAAAAGTTTCGGATGATCCTGAAATGTTAAACATGGTGCATTCAATTTCTAAAATCTTACCAATGAGTGAAAGCAGGTTTAAACAATTTCAAAAAGCATCTGAAGATGATAAAGATTTAAAACTTATTGGTGAATACTTTCAAAAGGGCTGGCCCGAAAAGAGAAAGGTACCTAAAAATTTGAAGCAATATTACAAAGTTAAAAATGACATAGTTTGTGCAGAAGGACTTGCATTTCTAAACGATAAGATTATTATTCCGAGTATATTAAGACAGGATATGTTAATGTTAATTCACGAATCTCATTTGGGTATTGCAAAATGTAAAAGTAGAGCTAGGGAATTAATGTACTGGCCAGGTATCAACCAAGATATTGAAACTATGGTTTCCAAATGCACCATATGTGAAAAATTTCAAAAGTCCCAGTGTAAAGAACCGCTCATTCCACATGAGATACCGATTCGCCCCTTTCAAAGAATTGGAATTGACATAATGTACTTTCATAATACAGATTATTTAGTATTAATTGATTATTATTCAAAGTGGGTTGAGACTATACCTATTCAGAATAAGACTGCTACCGAAATTATACTTAAGTTAGAAGACATTTTTTCCAGATTCGGAATACCGGAAACTATTATTTGTGATAATGTCCCATTTAACAGCCATGAGTTCAAAAGCTTTGGAAAGGGGTGGGACATTGAATTGATATTCACAAGTCCAAATTATTCACAAAGCAATGGGATGGCTGAGAAAGCAGTTGGGATATGTAAGTCTATCTTTAAAAAAGCTTTTGAAGATAATCGTAGACCTTCAGTGGGCTTATTAGAATACCGTAATACACCTATTTCTGGATTAGGCTTATCCCCTGCTCAGCTAATGTTTAACAGGCGGCTGAGAACTAAATTGCCCATTACCAGTAAACTTCTTAATCCTAAACTATTTAAAGATATTGACATAGAATTGTTAAGGAGGCAACAGAAGCAGAAACACTATTACGATAAATCTAGTAAAATCTTGAAAGAACTTAAACAGGGAGATAAAGTTATTGTTCAAAATGTCAAATCCAAACTATGGGAACCAGCTACTGTAGTGGGTAAAACTAAAAGTCCTCGTCAATAAGAAGTCAAAACAAACTCTGAAAGAACTTTAATAAGAAATAGGAGATTTCTAAAATTGTCTAAATCATGCAATGAACATGATCTTGATGAGTCTCCAGAAAATAAATGTACGATCGTTACTAATACAGTTTCTGGATCAGGGACTGTGAATGGACCAGGCAGTAGTCGTATAAGACGACGACCTCAATATTTAAATGATTATGTATGTGTTTAATTTACTATGCTTAATGGGATTACTCTTTATGTATTGAATTAATTTGATAAAATTTAAAAAGGGGGATGTGATATAACAACTACAACTTCAACTGCACTTGCTGGATTGATGTATACAAGATATAACAACTACAACTTCAACTGTACTTGCTGGATTGATGCATACAAGATGTAACAACGTGCTTCATGTTTCATGCTAATAATAAATACTAATCCTAAATAATGTTGACTTTGTTTATCATTTAACTAAAAGGTTATTAAATAGCTACAAAGACACAACAACAAGGACTCTTAAAAGATGCGGAGTTAGTATCACTGCTCCAATCCCTGCTCCCAGCTCCCAAGACATAGACTCGTAGTACCTCCAATGATGACGCCCACAGATTTTTATCTGTGGAAATTTCTACTATTTTTCATGCCAATATTCACCGTTGCCGTAGGGCAAAATTCAGACGAAGAAGTGAGATGCCCGATGCCGCGGGCAGGTACTTCATCAAATTTTATATCAAGTCCCTTTCACCTCTATGGATACTCCCAGAGAGGTGAAAGGACCTTCATGTGATCGCTGACTCGGGGGTATCCACCCCTAGTACTTTACCTAACTTGTCCCACTTTCACAGTTCTCAATCTATTTTGATCTACAATCTCACATTTAATAAGCCAGACACAGAGTATAAACTTGCGTCGCCCAAAGCTTCTGCTACTTCTCTTATATCTCTTGCTAACGACAGTACTACAGGCGCCTACTGGCACTACATCACGATGAAGGAGTGGAGTGTCCGCTTCGCGGACAGGTGCTCCGTATACAACTTCAGTCTAAGTCTAAGTCTCATTCCTTTCTCACCATTCTCGTTCCAGACTCTGAGGAGTAAGGTAGTGTTATAACCGAGCTCTGCGCTACGATGGCAACTTACAGATTTGGCCGCGGAGGGAAGGCTTTCCGACCCGCCCGCGAATGCGACCATGATAACAACAATTCTGCTCTCAGAGAAAAAGTGAAGAATGCAGTTCTTAAAAATCCAAAGAAGAAAGACAGCCTTAATGATGATTTGGAGGAGCATCGTGTTAGTATTGAAAATCTCGCGAAAACATTAGAAGATCCCCAAGAGAGAAGACAGTATGATAAAAAGTCACTTGAGAAATTGTATACTGAAATCTACATCTACGAAGTATTAAGTGAACTGAAGGAATTCCTTGCTCAGCCCACTTATCCAGAACCGGAGACTACAAAGACTAATGACTCCAGCGAACTAGCTGAGATTCCAAAACCAACACCAGTAGATCAGATAACAACTCCAGTCGACACTTCCATGGATTTAGAGGAATCAACCCGAGAGATAGAAAAGCCGATCTCAGACATCAACCCAGAGATAGCTACACCAGTAGAAAAATCCAACAAGAAAAAGAAGAAAAGGAAGAAGAGTAATGTCAACCCGGCGACGTTAAAATACTCTGAATCCGAACCCGAATGTGAACCACTCCACCCGGAGAAATAGATAGCTCTTGAACCAGCGACGGAGGAAATTACACAAGACCCGACCATCCCTGAAGTCCCGGCTACAGCCGAGACCACAGCAGAAAATCCAGAACAGATAGAAACTCTGCAATCCACCAGCAGAAAGTTAAAAATTCTCATCCCAGGATTAAATGCCGATATCGGATTCACCATCTCGAAAAAGACTTTTCAGATATTGGTCTACGGCCAATCAAAATTGAACAGATGAAGAAGAGGCGGGGCCAGGTACTTAAGCTCCTCCCCCTCTACATAGTAATCCTGAACAACGATCCCAAGCACCTAGGAATATTCAAAGTTGACCGACTCCTAGACACACCTGTCCGAGTGGAAAGATTTCGTGGCAGCCGCTACGAAATTCAATGTTTTAGGTGCCAAGGCTTCGGCCACACCCAAAGAGGTTGCACCAACAAGCCAGTCTGCATGAAATGCGCGGGAGTCTGCATGAATTCAACTTCACCTGCACCAAACCCCAGAATGAATCCCCGACATCCGTGAATTGCAAGGAAGAACACCCGGCCTGTTTCACAGGATGCCGAGCAAGGCCGAAGAGAAGGACCGTATCGAAGAAGAGACAACACAGAAGTGCTGCAAGCTCAGTGACCAGATTTCTACACATTGTCAGAGAACTCCAGGGACTCCTTAAAGATGCGGAGTTAGTTAAACTGCCCCAGTCCCTTCTCCCACCTTCCAGGACTTAGACACGGAGAAAAGCCACGGATGTCGACCACAGAATCCCCTCTGTGGAATACTCTTTTTATCGCCATTATTCCAGTTGCCCACGGGCACTATCTTTGATGAAGAAGTGAAGTGTCCTACCTTAGCTCAAGCTTTCTCATTTCTTTCTATTGCACTGATGAAGGTTGCCCTTTGAGCATCCGAAACAGCTGTCTGTATTTTATACATATTTTTGTGCTCTTTAACGTTGTTTTGCCTTAGTTTGTATTTTAGCACATAGGTCGCCCACTTGTGTATTTAAGAAAGACTTATTTCTAAAAAAAATTAGGAATGCATTTTTAAATTAATGATTTTAAAATTATTAATGATACAAAATTCATCAAAAAATCCATTGTATGAAGAAAGGGATAAAAATAGCAATAAAAGTTGCAATATAGTATTTCTTAATTAAATTTGAAATATTTAAAAAAATCAGCTGAACATTAGATATACTTTGGAGTAAGAAGGAGGAAAATGGATGGTTAGCAGAATTCACTAATATAATTTTATTTAGTATTTCTGTATCGCTAAGAAAATAATGCATGGAATGACATTATAAAACTATTGTTCTATGCTTGGCGAACAAAGAGCACGGCGCGAGCTCAAATGATCAGAGAGTCGGGTCCCCAATCATGGTTGCCGGGAGAAAAGTGTTTAAATAAGCAGACTCCTCAATTCGTCGTTTAACATGTAAAGTCAATG